GAAAAAGACTTGAAACATTTACTCAGATTATACAAGGTTCAAAAGAAACATTCACAAACCTTTCACAACGATTGACTTCAGCTATAGATAGAAGGATATCAGAGCCACAGGCTAGAAAAGTATTGATCGAATCTTTAGCTTTCAAAAATGTTAATGCTGAATGCAAAAAAAAAAAAAAAAAAAAAAAAGTGAGGCAAGATCAGCACCAACAGATGAATGGGTTAGAAACACAGTTGAGGGCTGGAGAGATGGCTCAGAGGTTAAGAGCACTGGCTGCTCTTCCAAAGGTCCTGAGTTCAATTCCCAGCAACCACATGATGGCTCATAACTATCTCTAGTAAGATCTGGTGTGCAGGCAGAATATTATATAAATAATAAATAAATCTTTGAAAGAAAAAGGAAAAGAAACATAGTTGATATTGAATCTCATTGATATGATATGACTTTAATAGAAGTGATCTCAAAAGCTTTTGAAAAAAATCCACACTCTCAAATGTCTTAATTGTGGTAAGCAAGGTAATTTTAAAAGGATTTAGAAAGAACTAAACTAATTCTGAAAGAAGGCCTATGCCTTCTGAATATGCAAAAGGTGTAGCAAAGGCTGGCATTGGACTAATATAGACCAACAAGGAACAAACAAGGTAACCCTTTATCAAAAACAGCCCAGGGTGCCTCTTGCTGGCCCCAATACCAAATTCAAATCTGCCGGGAGCCAAAGCTATCTACGGAAGCCAAAGTCAAAGCTATCTAGTGGAGACAAAGGTAGTTACTGAAGCCAAAGCCAAGTAGAAAGCAAAGGTCATTTAGTGGAGACCTAAAGCTATGTAGTGAAAGTTACCTAGACCCTAAAGCATGGGTGATAGATTGTGAGGACATCCTTTGTTAGAGCATCCGTACGATATCTTAAGAGAACATCCTTATGGTCTCTTGCAGGTACAATAGTTAACCCATGAAAGCACTCTTCCTGTCTCCTGCAGCAGCTAATTACCTTCCCCCTTTTTCTGCCTTCTCCCTATATAAGTTGGGTAAAAATTTCTAATAAACGGAAACCTTGATCAGACAGACTTGGCCTTCATTTCTTGCGTCTCTTGTCCCTACCCCCCCCCTTCCTTCCATGCTCCTATTTTAGGAGCCCCGTTGAAGCCCCGCAGGCTGGGGCACAAATCAGCCATTTCAAAGCAGCAGCAGAGATGCTTGTCTGTACAACAACCAAACAACACTGCTCTGAGGACGGACATTAAAAACCCAGATATCAGCCAGGCATGGTGGCACATGCCTTTAATCCCAGCTCTCAGAGGCAGAAGCTGGCAGATTGCTGTGAGTTGGAGGCCAGCCTGATCTACAAAGGAAGTCCAGAACAGCCAGGGCTACACAGAGAAACACAGTCTTGAAAAACTGAAAAAGAAAGAGCCCCTACTAATACCCCAATCCTACACCCAGACCAGATCAGACCAGCCCAGACCCAAACCAGCCCAGCCCAGCCCAGACCTAGCAAGTGTTTTCCATACCATTTCATCCCATGCTTCTTACAGATAAAAAGAAACCTGGTTTTGGAGGGCTACATCCAAGGTTACCATGAACTTGAACAAAAAAAAACATACCTTGGCAGATGACAAAAGCCCCAACTCAAATGGCTCAATCTACTTTTTGTTTGCTTGTTTGTTTTTACCAAGCCAGGGTTTCTCAGTGTAGCCTTGACTGCCCTGTGACTCACTTACAGGTGTGACTGGCCTCAAACTCAAGAGATTTGCTTGCCTCTGCCTCCTGAGTGCTAGGATTAAAGACGTGTGTCACTGCTGCAAAGCAATGGCTCAGTTCAAAAACAAAACAGCCAGATGCTGATGGATCTCTACGTTCGAGGCCAGCCTCGACTACAGAATGAGGTCTAGGACAGCCAGGACTACACAGAGAAACCCTGCCTCGAAAAAAACAAACAAAATCCCACAGCCTCCCATCTAGGGGAAGTCAGGTATGACTGGATCCAGGAACACTAATAGAATAGGGCCTAATTGTACACACTTGTCACCTCAGGAAATTAAGCAGCTCAGGCAGGATACTGGGGATGGTTTGTGCACTGTGTAGTCAAATACTGAGATTTGGGTGTAGTCTGGACATGGGCATTGTCATTATTCTTGAAGCATCTCCTTTCTCAATATTATGTAAAAAAATCTTTCTCCATCATCTCTGATTCGTTAAACGAGAGCTAAACAGCCAATAGCCGGGAAAGAAAGTTGAGATGGGACTTGCAATCCCAGGACGGGGGCTGAGGGAGAGAGAGAGGAAGTAACCAAGAGGAGGGCACCATGAGAGAGTTTCCATGAGGACTCAGGTGGAGCAGGAGCAGCCAGGGCGATATTGATGGTAGGTGATGGGGTGCACAGCTGGGTAGTAGTCCAGGTCAGCATAGATGAGTTAGAAGAGCTCAACATATGCCCAGCCATAGAGCTTAAAGCTTGTTAATAAATGCACTAGTTCTCTATGCCATTATTTGGAAGCTGGTGTGAGCATAAAAAAAGCCCATACTTTTTACAGCAGGACAAACACACATTCTAAGCCATCTGGGGTACGGAATGAGTTTGAGGCCAGCCTCAGCAATGTTAAGAGACCCTTTCTCAGAAGTAAACAAACCCAGTTGTGGTGACACATGCCTTTAATCTCAGCACACACAGGCAGAGGCAGGCAGGACTCTATGCATTTGAGACCACCCTAGTCTACATAGCAAGTTCCAAGCCATCCAGGGCTACATGGTAAAACCATGTCTCCATAAGCATCTTCTATCTCCTGGAGGTCTGAGCTTTCCAGAATGCCCTAGCTGTCCAGAGTCTCATCGAAAGAAATGGTCCTGTAATCCCTTTCCCAGAGCTCCCAGCTCTGATCCTAGAAAATGCCATCCTGCGCAGCTTGTGGTGGGGGCGCCAGAATGCTCTGGCTGGGTAACCCCTTATTGGGGGAGGCCTGGACTATCCTCACCAAATGTTTAGTCTCTGTGGCTGGGAACCTGGGGTTGACAGCACCTGGCTAAATAAGCCTGACCAACTCCATGATGGGCTTCATTTTCTTGTTAGACAGAACAGACCTAAGAGTTGCAGGAAAAGCCACAGGAAGGGCAACCAATCGGAAACAGCCAAGACATCTGGCCTGGGGAAGATAAGGTTGCTTAACTACCAGTTTGAAAAGCACCTAAGTCATGACCAGAGTCATGTAGCCTCCATGGGCACCAGCCAATGCCAATCCAGGTCACATAGTCACAGTAGGAATTCCCCTTTCCGGCTATAAAAGGGACCTTCAACTCCTCTCAGGGTCACCACCATGTTGTGAAGGTGGTAGCCCCAGCATGCTGGATGTCTGAAGAATAAACGCCCTTTGTTGCTTGCATGCTACTTGAGTCTGGGGTCGTTCTTTCAGCGAATTCTGGACCCTAACAGGATCACGAACATCCATGTCCGAACGTGCCATGGTTAGGCGGCTCCAGTCCCAGATGCTCAGGATGCCTATAGCCTAGGTACAGGTTCATCTGGGAGTAAGGCCATGGATATCCTAATTGGAGGGAGGGGACCCCTGTCTGTACATCAGGGCTTCCCAGGTGTAGGCTGTGGGAGTGGTAATCCCAGGCACAGTTAGAGGGAAACCTGGGCTATCTTCTGTGTTCTGACAGGTAGGTGACACCGTAAGGTGGACAGTCTGACTTGGACTAGAGAAAGAGAACACTGGAAACCCTCGAAAAAGGAGTATGAACAGAAAGCCTTCTAGCCCAAGGCTCCAAAGAGCTGCTAGGGGAGGGCAGCCAAGACACACGAAGAGGCTCTTCCCCGGTCACATCAACCAGCCGAACCTTTGACACAGTTTCCCTGTGCCCAAACAGGTCTATTCCCAGCCAGGACAGGATGTTGGAGCACCTGTCATAGGGAGCTGCCCTTTCTCAGCCCGATGTTCATGCAGCTGTAGCTCTCCAGAACACCCACAGTCAGGGTCAGTCACCAGCACAGCCTAGGGCCAGAACCACCCACCCTTAGAGGTCACAGGTACACCACAAACACTTCCTGCAAGGCTTGACTATGCTGCCACCCCCAATACTCATAAACAAATGTCCAGGTAAGGAGTGTGGGTGTCTGCGCCAGACAACCTCCGGGACTTTGCACATCTGCTCCCGCTCCTGTAACCTCCCAGGATGCATCTCCACTACTTTTTCTGGTCTATTTAAGCAGGACTAGGGTGTGGTTTAAAGGTCAGCCTAACATGAGGGTCCTCCCAGGGCAGGGGTTCAGACTCCACCTCCTGGAAGCCAGGTCTGCGGACCCCAAGTCGTCGATTCTGTCAGCCCTCCTTCTACTTGAGCCCTTAGAAACCAAAAGGTGACATCCACAGCTTCACGATGTTCGAGGGAGGATCCTGCTCCGCCTCCGGTCAAGCCACGCCCATCTCCCCACCCACAATCACGCCCCCTGGACGTCACAAAAAAAGGCCCCCAAAGCAGCAGCTGCCGGTCCGCCACCCGCAGCCCTGCCCTGCCCGCCACCCCGCACACAGGCATCTGCGGAGCTCTTCGGGCCGGAGGCGACGGCGGCCTCCGGGGCTTCGGAAACGCAAGGCGCCTGCGCGGCAGGGCGGGGGAAGACGACTACACTTCCCGGCGTGCCCCGCGGGCGGGCGCGCAGACACATTCCGGACCCGGTGGAGGCGTCGCACAGGCGCATTCTAGACCCGGCAGTGGCTCGCAGGCGCATTTCCGGCCCGGCGGCAGCGGCACGCAGGCGCATAAGAGGCCCGGGTGTGGCACGCAGGCGCATTCGGGGTCCAAAGGAGACACGCAGGCGCATTCGGGGCCCGGAGCCGGTGCGCAGGCGCATTCGAGGCCCGGCGGCTGCGGCGCGCAGGCGCATTTGGCGTGGGCCGGGTCGGGCTGAAGCGAGCGCCGGGCGGGCAGCGGCGTCAGAGCGAGTGGAGCCTTCGGGGTCTTCGGGTGGCGGCGGCGGCGGCGCAGAGGAGGAAGGCGGCGGCTCTCCCCCTGCCGGCGCGCGACCCGGTCCGTCCCGCGAACTCGCGCCGGTCCTGCGGCCCGGCCCGGCCCCGGCCCCGGCCCCGGGCCCCTCCGCCGCCGCCGCCACCGCCATGGCCCGGCCGCTGGTGCCCAGCTCGCAGAAGGCGCTGCTGCTGGAGCTGAAGGGGCTGCAGGAGGAGCCGGTGGAGGGCTTCCGGGTAACGCTGGTGGACGAGGGCGACCTGTACAACTGGGAGGTGGCCATCTTCGGGCCCCCCAACACCTACTACGAGGGCGGCTACTTCAAGGTGAGCCAGGCCTCAGTTTCCCCTTTGTGCCTGTCCCTTCCCGAGCTTGGCTCCGGCTCTGCGTGCAGAACGGCCCCTCCCTGTTTTGTTGTCCAGGTGCTGACCTCACCCCGGGGATTGGTCTCTCTCTACTGTCCTCCAACAGGCCACAGAGGACCAGGGACAGCTAATGACTGGCATATTTCCAGGCATTCTCTACCACAAGACCCAGGGGCCTCTAGATGGCTGCTGGCCATCGTGTTTCCAGGCAGCATGTACCTGGGGAAGGCTCTCTCCAGGTTGTCCCCACCCCTTCCAGCATGCTTCTGGTGAAGGGTCTCCCCAGGGACAGCTGTTGGCCTTTTTGTTCCCAGGCTGTTCCCACACATGCAAGACCCAGAAGCCTCCGGAGCCCCCTGCTGGCAAGCATGTTCCTAGGCTGTTCCCCCACCCCACCAGCATATCCCTGGGAAAGGTCTCCTTGGGTACACAGAGGACCACTATGTACTCCTCTATGGCAGCTGCTGGCTGGCGTCCCCAGGCTCTCCCCCACCCTGGGACACAGAAACAGGCCAGCTGCTGGCAGGTCAGTCCCCAGGGAAGGGACATGCAGCCTGGACAGCCACCTGCTCTAGTTCCAGCAGAGGCCCTGACAGGGCCTTGGCAGCCGTGCCTGCTTGGACAACGGCCACCTTTAGCCCTAGCCAGGCTTTATGTAATGCATTCCAAGGGGGCGGTGGGGGCAGGAGCCCAGCTTTCCACTCTTATTCTCAGAGCCACACCCTAAGTTCTTGCCAAGGGCCCTAGACCCCGAAGCTCTGTTTTCCCCCTGCCCCCCAGCAGCCTTTCTCAGGTTCCACTGACCAGGTGGCTTCTTGGGGCCTGTTTTTCCCTTCTAGGCAATGTTATCTGCCCTCTGGTGGCTTAAGGCTTAAGGTTCAATGCACCAGAGATCTTCATGGTTGGGTGCAAGGGGCCCTGGGTAGTCCCTACACTGTGTATGTGTGGCCAAGTACAGGTACCCACAGTAGCACAGTTTGATCATGCTGGCTGCTGTGGACTAGAACTCCTAGCAGAGTCAGAGTCTCATGTTAGGACCAAGAGGAACAAGATGAGGACCAGGTGGGTGCAGTTTCCAGCCCAGGTGTAGGGCCATAGCTGTTTGTCCATGGCAGATGTTTATCCTGTGTCCTCATTTGTGGCTGATGTCCTCACCCTTCCTGCTCACGGACTAGGAGAGCAGCAAGTCTCCCCAGTCAGGGTAATTATAGAGTTAACTTCCTGGTACAGCGTATGTGGATACCCTTGCCTTCTACCTTGGAACCTGGTCTGAACTTAGAAACCTTCAGGATGTCCAGATGCTATTAGCACCTTGTTTTCTGTGTCTGCTGGGGGGAGGGGAGAGCCACCAGGAGGACGAGAATTCTGTTCAGAGGATGGACATCCGAGCTGCTCGCCACCTGTGAAGGGCTGTGGGCAGAGCCTCCAAGCTCACATTCTAGAGACAGCTTGGGAGGAGGCCCTGTGAGATGTCAGTCTGCCAGCGTGGGAGCCTCCTGTATGGCGTGGGTGGCTAAGACATAGACCCTGTAAGAAGAGAGCTATGAAGAGCTTCCTCTGGACAACCCAGCCTGTCCAGGAAGGTGGGGGTGCCTTTCCTGTTACTGAACTTCAGTTTGCTCATTCCTAAAAAGCTCTTGAGCCACAGAAGTGTGGGGTCTTGTTCCAGCAATGCTACTTTTTTCTCTGCTGTTCTGAAGAGTTGGAAATCCACGCTAGGTTTGTGTATGTCAAGTGGAAAGGAACTGGGCAGGTCATCTAGCTTGAATTCCTATCTGGCGCTGAGGCCACAGGCTCGTTCCCCTAAGTGTTCTCTATAGTGCCAGTTTTGGAATTTTGGTTTCTTTTAAAAATACAGTAATATTTTTGAGACCATATTTTCATCACAGATGTGGGGATATGAGGCTGCTTCGCAGCAGCCAACTATGATTTGCCTCATGCTCTAGCATAGGTGTGGTTTTACATGCTGCAAATAGTTTCAGCAATTGTGGGAATTGCGGGAACTTTTCAGGGGCTATATAAATACTAGGGCTCCGATAGGCAAGGCTGGTGGTTGTTAATCATTCCAGGGGTTTGGCTTTAGTTAGTAGTTATGCTCAAAGAAGAAACAAGAAGAAAGAAATTAGGCTCAGGGATCTCTTTTCCCCTCTAATTATGTTTCTCTCCTATCTGATGATAAAGGTGAAACCAGGGGGATAAAGGGTGGGAAAAAGGAGAACCCACAAAGTAGTAAAAGTCAAGCTACAGCTCTCCTTGCCTAGGGGACGTTCTAGAAGCTGCCCTTGGGGAACCCTAAGACTAAGGAAAACCTCAGGCCTTCTTCTACCTGTCCAAAGTCTGGGGGTCAGCGGGCAGGGTGAGTGTCAGTCAGAAGCAGCTGCAGTGGCCAGGCAGGTGGCTCCAGCTTGTCTCTGATGGCTGCCCTTGGCCTGTGCCACTGAGCCTAGGTAGTGTTGGTGGGAGTTCAGAATGAGCAAGTCTCCCTGAGGGCAGGAAACCTGCTGACTCATCCCCCTGGCTAGGTGACATACCAGGTGACACTGTCACTCTAACCTGGAGGCTGTGTCGCAGAGTGCTGCCTGAACTTGCACAGACTGGGGTTGGTGTCAGTCCCTGAACAGCCCAGAGCCAGGCCCTAACTCCAGTGCTCAGGAGGCTGCCATTGAGCCACCCTACTTTCTGCCGTCTGTAGGCTCGCCTCAAGTTCCCCATCGACTACCCGTATTCCCCACCAGCCTTCCGGTTCCTCACCAAGATGTGGCACCCAAACATCTATGAGGTAAGTCACTGTTGACACTACAGACACTTGCCTCGGGCACATCCCACCAAATGCACACCCCATGTCTCCCTTGCACACGCCCCATGCCTCATCTAATTTTGGTCACTCTTGCAGACAGGGGACGTGTGCATCTCCATCCTCCATCCCCCAGTTGACGACCCACAGAGTGGGGAGCTGCCCTCAGAGCGGTGGAACCCCACACAGAATGTCAGGTGAGAGCTGCACATGTCTTCACACCATGGGCTTCCTGAGACCCTGTACCCTGAGGTCCCTCCTTCCCTGCTCCAGTCTGGGGACCCTGGGGTCTGTGAGGAGCTGAGCTTGCGCCCACGGCTCCACAGGACCATCCTCCTGAGTGTGATCTCCCTGCTGAATGAGCCCAACACCTTCTCGCCTGCCAACGTGGACGCCTCGGTGATGTACAGAAAGTGGAAGGAGAGCAAGGGGAAGGACCGCGAGTACACGGACATCATCCGGTGAGCACTGCTGGCAGCCTGGGTGGTGCCGCTGCGCCTCTGTAATAGATGCTGTTTGTTGTAAGACTGAGCTGTGCACAGAGCACACGCTAACCCACTCCTGAGCCAGCTCTTTCTGTCTCTGTGACATAGTTGTTTCTCGGGTGGGAAGTTGTGTGTTTCCATTCTTGCATCCCTAGCTAGATGTGGGGGCTGTGTGCCCCCCGGAGCACCGAGCTCACCATCCAGAATGGCCAAGATCCAGGTGTGTCTTGTCACTCTGCATATCTTCATGAGTGACTGGGGCGTGCAAGGCCACATCCTCACTGTCTGCCTAAACATTGCTTACATTTGTGATTCTGAAATTTACATTCTTTTTGAAAGGCGGTAGGTCGCTGAGCCCATTGTGAGCCCATCCTCAGGAGCCTGGGAGTATCGCCCACAGGTGCTCTGACAAGGACCCAGGCTGTGGCCTGTTCCCCTCCTGTCGCCACCTGTGAGTGGCTCTGTCCACATCCATCATCACTTTGCAGCAGGAGCGCCTGGCTTGTTCTGGGCTCGGGTGGTCTCCCCTATACCCCTAATGGTGGGTATGCAATTGCACTTTCGAGATTCTAGGCAAGTGTCACGCCCTGCTTCTACCCAGCCATGCTGGGTGTCCACACCAGTACCCACATACCCAGTGCCTGTCCATTACTTCTGTGTTTTCTGAGATAGGCTTTCCTATAACCCCTCCTGATGTCAGGGTGACAGTACACACTACCTCGTTTTAAGATGTCATCTATTTTCTGTGCGAGTGCTCTATCTGCATGTACACCTGCACGCCAGAAGAGGGCATCAGACCCCAGTATAGATGGTTGTGAGTCACCATGTGGTTGCTGGGAATTGAGTTTAGGACCTCTGGAAGAGCAGCCAGTGTGCTTATGTGCTAAGCCATCTCTCCAGCCCTATGCGCTACCTCTTAACCTAATAACACCTCACAGCTAGCTATCCCCTGCCTCAGCAGTGACCCAGGACAGGCGCTTTGTCCACACAGTGACCCAGACACAAGGGCCTGTAATGTCCCCACACTGACAGCAGCCCAGGCCCATCAACAGGCATGCTGAGCAAGCCAAGCTTGTCAGCCAGTTGCCTGGAGTCAGACACAGGGTGAGCACTGGCCCAGCAGGAGCCATGTGGCCTTGTCCCACAGTAGGCAGGCCTGACTTCTCAGAATTGACATGGTCTGCAACTTAGTGGTCAGTGCTGGGCCAGCACATGCAAGATCCTGGGGTTTATCTCTGGCCTCAGAACAAGGTAGAGGTAGCCGCCAGGGTCCTCATGGAGGTGTTAGTTGTGAGCTATTTAGGAAGGTCTGAGCGCTGCGCTATGGAGGTGTCACCTCCTGGCCTGGATGTCTCCGCAACCCTTTCCCCTTTGTTCTCCGTTCAGGCAAGCCCACAGTTCACCACCCTCACGCCCTTCCCCAGCTGGGAAGAAGGCTGACTGTCCTGTGGGATTTGTTTTATTTATTTGTTTGTTTGTTTTAAGATGAAGTCTCACTAGCCCTGGCTATCCTGGAACCAACTATGTAGACCAAGCTGACTTCAAACTTAGAATTATGCCTTTGAGTGCTAGGATTAAAGGTATGGGCCACCACTCCCAACTTAGTTATGGCCTACTTTTGCTGACTAATGTAGTGACATTAAGAATTCTGGAATTTTGGTTTCTTTTAAAAAAACACACACACACATTTTAATCTAGGTGTGGGGATGTGGGGCTGCTTTAGAGTGTTCACAGAAACTGACCATAATTTGCCCCATGCTCTAGCAGAAGCATGGTTTTTCAGCTGCAGATAATTTCTGCAATTTTGTGACATTTAGAATTCCAGGAACTTTTCAGAGGATATTTAAATGCTAGAGCCTCAATAGGTGGGTTTGTTTAGGGAGGTTAGTTGCGGTTAGTAGCTGAAGTCAAAGAAGAAACAAAAGGAAAGAAATTAGATTGAGGATTTTCCTAATTCTCTCTCCCCTCTATCTTTGTTTCTCTCCTATCTAGTGTTAGGGGGTAAAACTGGGGTGGGGTAGAGTGTGGAAAGGGGGTGAGAAGATGAACCCACAAAGTAGCAAAGACTAGCTACAGGCTGTTTTGTGATGTCATTTGTAAGTAAACAAATTGAGATTGCCATGGGTACACTCAGCCCTTTTCCACTGCCCACTTCCTGTCAACCTGAGAGGTGATATCTAGTGTTTTGGCTGTAATGGTGTCTGATGGGCTACAGTGGACCCTGCCCAGTACGGGCCACCATTGGGTGCAGGTGCCAGCAGGGACTCTGGCTCTGGCCCCATCATTGCTGGTCTTCAGCCTCCTGGTAGCCTTTAGCCCAGTTCTCCTGGCTGCTTCCTTGAGTCTCTGTCCCAGAGCAGGAGCCCTGGGCTATTTTTATCATTCTCGCTCCAGGAGCCAATTGCTATGACCATGAGGCCTATACTGCTCCTGGAACTCAACCTGAGAGCCAGTGTCTAACCATGTCCATCTCAGGCCACAAGGACGGGACAGCTGGGAGCCTGTGGGAAGGGCCTTGAGATGGGTCTAGGCTATCATGTGTTGCTGTCACAGGTGCCCCTCAAACATCGTCCTGTACCCCGTTCTCTATGGGAAGCTAAGGCCAGTGTCTGCTCTACTCTGCTCTCCCTTTAGGACCTACACTCTGAAGCTCTTTCCCAGGCCTCATTTCTTTAGTTAATTGCTACCCCCTGTGCAGGGAAGCTTTTGCTGTGTGTTGTTTCACCTGTGTCCATGGGACTTCGCCTGTGGCCTCTGAGGCCTGGAACCTCAGTTCCTCCAGGACTGCCCTTTGACAGAATGCCTTGTTCAGCTCAAGCTGCGCTTTGGGAGAGTGGGGTGGGTGGGTGGGTGCACCCACAGAGAAGCCAGGGGACAAAATCTGGTGTCCTTCACTGTCACTCTGCACAAGGCCTCTCACTGACCTGGAACTAGGCTAGTGGCCAGCAAGCCCCAGGTCCTGTGCAGCCCTCACAGCACTCATAGGCCTGATGCTGCCATGCCCAGGTATTTCTGTGGGTGCTGGAACTGGACTGAGGTCCCTGTGCTTGCTTATACAACAAGAACCTGTACTGTGTCGTCTCCAGCCCTGTTTGTCATTTTAACACAGCTCCATTATAGCCCAGGCTAGCCTGAGACTCAGCCTGAGATCCTGCCTCAGCCTCGAAGTGCTGGACAACAGCCATTTGTCCCACACCTGGCTGTGGTCACCTTTCTGCCTGGGAGCTAATCACTAAGCCACTCCTTGTCTTCTGTCCCCTTCCTCCTACCTGCTCCTTGCCCTCCACTCATTGTCTTCCTTTGGAATCCCACTGCCTGGGCTGTAGCCTCACCTGTCCTGTCTCCCCAGGAAGCAGGTCCTGGGGACCAAGGTGGACGCAGAGCGCGATGGCGTGAAGGTGCCCACCACGCTGGCCGAGTACTGCGTGAAGACCAAGGCGCCGGCGCCCGACGAGGGCTCAGACCTCTTCTACGATGACTACTATGAGGACGGCGAAGTGGAGGAGGCCGACAGCTGCTTTGGGGACGAAGAGGACGATTCTGGCACCGAGGAGTCCTGACCACATCCCCGAAATAAACTTACAAATTTTACCTCAGCGGGACCCGTGTGGGCCTCAGGCGACAGACTACCTCACCGAGGTTCCATGACCCTTAGGTCCTCTTACCCTGTGTTCCCCATGGGTTTTCCTCGGCTTTAGAGAAGAGCCGTGGCGCCGGGCAGACACCCCACTCAGCTCACAGATGGTGACAAGCCTGGAAGGCTGGGGACCACCTGGTGGGGAGCCAGAGACTCCATCCCAGCCCGAGCAGGGCCAGCCCCAGTCACCTCCTCTCTGCTTTGGTATGTGTGAAATCCAAATAAAATGGCTTTCTGAGAAGCTGGGAGAAGCAGCCAGGACGCCAGTGGAACTGGCCACTGACGACCACCTGGGTAGCCCGGCCAGGGCATGGGATGGGCAGAAAGATAGTGATAGCAGTCTGTTCATTGGCACTCAGTGTTCTACAGGGTGCCCGGGCCCAGAAGCAACTTGCCACTGCAGATCCTGTCAGCCTGCATCTGGCACTGTGGCTGCACCCACATCTACCTCAAGCCTTCGGTCGGGCTGGGCCTGGGTCCTGAGACATGCAGAGACCTGTAACCAGCAGTCCCTGTGTTTGGGCTGCTTCCTCAGCCCAGGAAACTCCAATGCTTGCCTGAGAAGTCCCTGTGGCCAGGGACTGAGGTACAGCCTAGTGACTGCCCAACAGGGAGGGCCAGGGTGCCCACAGTGACCCAGTGCTGATGTACCAGACCTGTTGTGCCCACACTTCCATGCAAAGGATGGAACCCAGAGCTTCAAACCACCAGTGGCTTATGGCTATCCTGTAAAGAAGGTGCCACTTCCCCAGGAGTGGGTCTCTATGTCCAGAGTTCCGGTTTCCAGAACAAAGGCCATTCTCTACTGAGCAGCACTTAACGAGAACCCTGCCAGTCATAGCATGTTACAGAAGTGGTTGGAAGGAGGCTGGGGGTCGGGCCCCGGCTAAGAGACTACTGCCCAGCCATTGCAGTAAGCCTTGCCAGAGTCTTACTAGTTAAGAGAGTAAGGAAGTGGGGTGTGGTGACAGCACTCTGATCTTGGTGAGCTCAAGGCCAGCCTGGCTGGCCTACAAAGTACATTCCAGAATAGTCAGCTACAAAGTGAGACCCTGTGTCTAAAAACAAATAAAAAAAAGGCACCAGGAGTTGAGGCCATCCTGTGCTCCATACAATTTAAAGCTGATTATATAGAGCTCAGTGGGTAAAGGCCACCAAGCCTGAGGACAAGAGTTCCAGTCCAGAACCCATATGGTTGAAGGAGATAACTGATGCCTGCAAGTTGTCCCCTGTGGGAGTTGGGGTGTCAGTTGAGCCAGACCAGAGGTCTGCCCCAGCCCCCAAAACACCAGAAAAGTGAGCACTGGGGATCCAGTTCATCACATGGCTCTAGGCACCATCCCCAGAAACGGTAACTTTGACGTCAGAGATGCTTTCTAAAACCACCAAGAGCAGAGTGTGAAGGAGGAGGGGTTGACACTTGTGCAAGGTGGGTGGGGCTCGAAAAGCCTGTCCCCATAGGAAGAGAAAGTGAGGACCCCCTTCCCCTGGGGGCCACAAGTCTTTCACCAAGATGGAGGTCTACCAGTTCCTGCTGTTCTTGCTGGCCTTGGAGAAACTATGGGCAGGTGAGCATGAAAGAGCCTGATCTTTCAGGGGTCTGTGGATTGAAGAGGGTTTATGTACAGGGAAATTAGACAATTCAGATCTCTGAGGAATGGCATCTACAAAAAGAGTACACCCTGAGTGAAACTAAATGCTGAAAGCCGTGCTTCGTGGCATACACCTGTAATCCCAGCACTGGAGGATCAGGGATTCAAAGCCTTCCTCTGCCCCACAATGAGTTTGAGGCCAGCTGGGCCACATGAGACCCTGCTTTGGAAAGAAAAAAGTTGTGGCCCAACATGGTGGCACATGCCTTTACTCCCCACACTCAAAGACAGGTAGGTCACTTGTAAATTCCAGATTGGACTAGGCTACTTGGTGAGATCTTGCCAAAAGTGGAGCAAAATGGCCATGTACCTTTAATCCCAGCACTCGGGAGGCTCCGTGAGTCAACACAAGCCTAGTCTATATAGTGGGTTGCAGAACAGCCAGAACTGTGGGGGCTGTGGGAGACACTAGGGAGGGGAACACAGGATCCTGGGGGCTCCTGAAGACTAGCAGAATCAGTGAGCTCCAGGATCAGTGAGAGACCTTGTTTCAGTTAAGGTACAGGATGATGACCAGATTTGGTCTCTGACCTCCATCTATTCATACATGTGTATGCATGTACACAGAGGCAAACACAAATTTCTTTTTGAGCCAAGGTCTCATTGTCACAGTCCTGGCTGACTGGAACTATCTGCTTGCCCCTGCCTCCTGAGTGCTGGGACTAGAAGGATGCAACACCCCTCCCAATTGTTGATGCCTATATTTCCTTGGAACCTTCTAGAACTTTCTCCAAGGAACAAGAGAGGAAGTTGGCTTTGCAAGCATAACGACTTTTTTAAGTCATGGACCTTCCACAGGTCTCAGCCAGCACTATAATTTTTGTACTGAGCGCTGGTGGAGACCTTGGCACAGTGTAGCCAAGGCTGATGTCATACTCCTAGCAATTGTGTTTCAACCTCTCAAGTCCTGCCTCCATAACAGGATTTTAAAGTAAGGAGAGGGCCTGGGCCTGCACCTCAGCAAGCTTTTGCCTAATGTGAGGAAGATCCTGGGTTCCACCAGGCACGCTGGCACGTACCTGTCTGCAAACAAGGATCCTCACTACAGGCCAACCTGTAGGAGATAATGTCTCAAAATAAAGGGTTTGGGGGTTTTTTTTGTTGTTTGTTTTAAAGTGGGGAAGGAAAGAATGCACACATGGGTGGGAGACTACCTTGGGTGGTGAAAAGCCACTCAGTTGTGGGTGTGTGAACTGGCCCCACAAAGCTGCAGAGGTGAGACTTCACAGAGAAACTTTGGTTTCTCCTTAGACTTGTTTTGGGTTTCTTTTTCCTCCCAGCGCTCAAGCCTGGGGCCTGCAAACCAGGCTGGCATCGAAACTCAGAGATCCACCTGTCCCTGCTGAGCTCCAGGATTAAACGTGTTACATTACCACTACCCAGCTTGTTTCAAATTTTTAATCCTGATTCTCCTTCTACCTCCCTAGGGCAGGGATGACAAGTGTACACCAGTAGATCTGGATTCGGGGGGCGGGGGGGGACTGGAACCCAGGGCTCTGTATGTGATAGGCGAGCATTCTAAGCACTGAGCCCAGCCTGGTGGTCTTTATCAACCCTTCAAGAGAAATAATTCACACAGTGTACAGTTCACTGAGATTCAGAAGCCACACAACTCACCCCCATGCCCTAGCACCCACAAATCCACTTCCTGCCATGGAGTTTCACACTGTGACTTTTTGTGACTGATTCGCCCCTGAGCATTGTGTCCTCAAGAGGCCCTGCTATTGTCATGGCAAGTGTCAGAACCCCACTTCTGTGTGTGTCTGGGTAATATTGCAGTGTGTGGCAGAGCATGAGTCAATTTCTCACACACACTTGCCCTCCCTGTGACTACTAGGGAAAGGCATGTATGTGGGTTTGTGGAAGGGTGAGTGAAATGTCCGAGGAAGCCAGTAGAGGACATCAGGTCCCCTTGAGCTAGAGTCCTAGGCAGCTGCGAGCTGCCTGGAGTAGATGGTAGGAATTAAACTTGGGTCCTCTGCAAGAGCAGCCCATTCTCTTACCCTCTGAGCTGTCTCTCCAGTCCCTCATTCACATGTTAAGCCTCTGGCAGCTCAATAGTGTCTGAGCAGCAGGACCTAGCGGGGTTGAGCTCAGGCTCAGTGGAGGGGTGTGGCAGCACCCAAAACCGGCCCTCCCTTCCTCCCTTCTCAGCAGGTGACACGTTTGAGACCCAAATCATTGGGGGTCGAGAGGCAGTCCCGCACTCCCGACCATACATGGCCTCTCTCCAGAAAGCCAAGTCCCATGTGTGCGGGGGAGTCCTTGTGCATTCCAAGTGGGTGTTGACGGCTGCCCACTGCCTGTCTGAGCCGTGAGTACCCCACTGCATTCCCCACTGTGGCTTGAGACACTGAGGGACTCAGGCCAACCCTCTCCAGGCTGTGGATTCAGGTTTAGTGAGTCACATGGTACAGGAAAGAATGGCTCCTTCCAACCCCTCCTGTGACACCCAGCAATCTGTGAATGCCAGCCTGCCAGTAAGACAGAACTGCCAACAAGAAGCCACTAAAGAGATCCATCCTGTAGGGATGTCTTTAATGGCAGAGTCTCTGCTTCATTCTGGGTCTCATCCTCAACACTAAGAAAAAATCCTGAGACCTGAGAAAAGGAAGCAGTCCCTGAGTGTGATGGCATGTGCCTTTAATCCCAGCCCTCAAGGACATGGAGGCAGGTGGGTAGCTACCTGACCCGTTCTCACGCGGCTGCAAGTGCAACGCAGGAGGCCTGTGGAAAGGGTTATTCCTCTGTAATTTGGTGAATGCAGGAAGTCGACACCGACAAATCACAGAAGAGAGGCTGCAGTTGGGGGAGGGGCGTATTGAGAGTATTCAAGAATCCTCCAATCTGGCGCTGGGCTGAAGTCAGAGGAGGACTGAGGATATGGTAGATTATCTGCCAGGAGTGGGGCTGGGGAGGCTGCTGTGTGGGAAAGGCTGTGGGCGGCTGTGGGCGAGCAGGGTTCTGCGTTGCAGGGTAAGGCAGCTGAAGCTGGTACTCGGCCTGCACCGCCTCTACGACCCCCAAGATCCTGGCCTCACCTTCCACATCAGGGAAGCCATTAAGCACCCTGCCTACAACCTCAATTATGAAAACGACCTGGCGCTGCTTAAGGTGCGGGGCAGAGAGACTGAGGGCCAGCCACAGCCTGGTTTCCCTCAGCCACTCACTGGCCCTCCTGTCCCCACAGCTCGACGGGCGGGTGCAGCCCAGCAGAAATGTCCGACCATTGGCTCTACCCAGAAAGCCCCGAGCCAAGCCTGCTGAAGGGGCTCGGTGCAGCATTGCTGGCTGGGGCATTACCCACCAGAGTGGGCACCTGGCCAGGGTCCTGCAGGAGTTGGATCTGCGTGTGCTGGACACCCGCATGTGTAACAACAGCCGCTTCTGGAATGGCAGTCTCGTGGCCAACATGCTGTGTTTGAAGGCTGGGTCCAAGAGCCAGGGCCCCTGCAAGGTGAAAGGGGTGGCCTGGAGGCCTGGTCTGGGCAGCAGCCCAAGCTGGCCTCTGACACCCATTCTCTGGGGAGTAGAAGGAGGGTGGGACCAACATTCACCTCTTTCTCAGATGCAGAAATCACGGCCCTGGGAGAATAAAAACACTGTCTAGGTCAGAAGTCAGGAAGCCAGAGAGTTGTGGTTTGAACTCCAACACCACAGACTAGTCATCTGGGCCCAGAGCAAAGGCCCTGGGGTAGAAAGGACAGGAAAAGGAAGAGACAGGAAGGCAAGGGTGCACATGGGCTTGTAAGGGGCCCCAGTGCCTCCCAAACCCCCACTTTCCCCCCTCCCTCCCAGCCCTCACCCCCAACCCCTACCTGCAGGCACAAGGGCTGACCTGTGTGTCTCACCTCTGACAGGGTGACTCTGGAGGGCCCCTGGTGTGTGGCAAAGGTCAGGTGGCTGGGATCCTGTCTTTCAGCTCCAGAAACTGCACGGACATCTTCAAGCCTCCTGTGGCTACTGCTGTGGCCCCCTACAGCTCCTGGATCAGGAAGATCATCCATCGCTGGCAACCTCAGCCTCTGGCCTAATGCCCTAGCTGACCAGGACATATTTACTGGCTGGGCAGGGAAGGGACTGGGTGTGCCTCTGAAAACCAATAAATCCTGATATGTCTGTGGAACCTACCCCTGTCTGCCTCTGGCCTCTGCAAGCCTCTGCTTCCCCTATAGGGTGAGTCTTCTGAACGGCTGTCAAGAAAGTGCTGGGACCTAGGGTAGGCAGGGAGGTGAAATTGGCCTGCTGGAAGCCAAGGACGAGCAACGGTACCAGTGTACCAGTGTGGCCAGCAGAGGGCAGCAGCTGTCCTCTGTGGCCCTCTCACATGCGGTGAAGAGTGGGAGGCTCCACACAGAACACCCTCAACTTCCATTTTACAGACACCTCAACAGGAGCAGCTGAAGTGTCATGCCAGTGGGTGTCAACACTTGCAGCAACAGTTCCAGAACATTCCATCATTGTGCTTCCACCTCGTCCCCACGAGAGGTCACTCCATCCCTTCCCTAGTCGCCACAAACCTTGCCTGTGTGGATTCTTCTAGGTATTTTCTGTCATGTAGTCCCACACCGCGTGGCCTTTGTGTCCAGGTCTATACTGAGCACGGTGTCCTCAAGGCCCCATCCTACTGTGGCAGAGGATGTAAGACCCTCCCTCCTCTGACTCTGCTTTTCTTGGGCTCCAAATTAAACCAGCAGAACACGGATCAGCAGGAGAGAAACCCTCACAGTGCTATAGAGGTTAGCACCAAGGGTGACTGGAAAACATGGCCCTCAGCCCTCGCCTGTCATCTCTGCAGTTGGGAGGCTGAGAAAGGAGGGTTGCCTCCATTTCAAAGTCCCCCTGAGGGGCTGGAGACATGGCTTAGGGGTTCAGAGCACTATCTGTTCTTCCAGAGAACCCAGCTTCAATTCCTAGTACCCACAGGGCAGTTCACAACTGTCAATAATTCCAGTTCTAGGTAATCCAGTATCCTCACAGAGAATGCACATTAAAAAAATGAATAAATAGATAAATAAATAAATAAATAAATAAATAAATAAGCCAGGCGTAATGGCGCACACCTTTAGTCCTAGCACTTGGGAGCAGAGGCGGGCAGAACTCTGTGAGTTCGAGGCCAGCCTGGTCTACAAAAAGAATTCCAGGGCAAGCAGGACTATGCAGAGAGACCCCGTCTCTAAAAAGCAAAACAAAAACAAAAACCAAAGTCAACCTGAGCTTCATGACACCCTGTCTCAAGGTAGAAGAGTCCATCTCCACAGCCTCTCCCAGAATATTCTTTCATTCCCCTTGAGATAGAGTCCCATGTAACCCAGGCTGGCCTTAAACTCCCTAGGCCTAATGTAGCTGAGGATAACCCTAAAATCTTGGTCTGCCTGCTTCCACCTTTTAGATGCCAGGGTGCCAGGCATGTGCTGCATGCCCTCTTGAACCTAGCTCAAGGGGAGCATGCTCCACTGAGCAACTCCCCTCTTTTCTTTCACAAAAACAGCCCTTTCAAGAACAGGAAGTCTGTGAAAGGCCAGCCAGAAGTCAGCGGGTGGAATTACAGCAATGAAGCTTAAATGCCTCTGCTGACTTGTTTTCCACCCTGCACTTTGTCCCAGAATTCTAGGTTTGCTCCCTGCCATGCCCCAGGGAGGACCCTCCTCACCTGGCTCCTGGACTCTGGGTGGCCCTGGCTCGGGAAAATAGGTTTCAAAGGTATCATCGGATTAACTAGGTTTTATAGACATAGAAGGGCCTGGAAGAAACAAATCTGGGCGTGGTGGGTACACCTGGGATCCCGGGCCTCAGAAAGCTGAGGTGGGCAGGGCAAGAATTCCAAGCCAGCCTGGACTACAGAGCTTTAACAAAGAGGGGGAGGGCGTGGGAGCTGGATAGACAGACACCAGCTGCTCTCGAAAAAGACATGGGTTTGATTCCCACAGAGCAGCTCAGACCACCTGTGACTTAGGTTCAAGGGAATCCGATACCTTCTTTTAGCCTCTGAAGCACCTCCCCCCCATAAAAAATGAATCTTAAAAGATGGGGGAGGTGGAGGCCGGAGGCTCAGAAGTTCAAGGTCATCCTCTGCTACTTAAGGACCTGAGGCCAGCCTGCGCTACAGGAGACCAGCATCCGGCCTCCACTCCCCCAGTGACAAGACAGGCCACATGTTCCTGCGCTATGGAAGGCCATGCTAGGCCAGCACGCCTAAATTAAGTCCTAGCCCTGTCTTTCTCTTCTTTTTTATTTTTCTTTTTATTTATTTGTTTGTTTTGATTTTTTTTTTTTTTTTTTTTTTTGAGACAGGGACTCTATCTGACTGTTCTGTAACCCCCCTATGAAGACCAGGCTGCCCTCACACTCAGAGGAATTCTCCTGCCTCTGCCTCCCCAGTGCTGGGACTAAAGGCATGCACCACCCCACCCCACTCTTTCATTTTTGAGATGAAGTCTCCCTCTAGTTCAGGCTGGCCTTGAAAACTTTTGGTAATCTTGTGCCTTCACCTTCAAAGTGCAGGGAATCACATCTCCAATGTAATTTCTCTACACCCCTTAGAGCACCCAAATGACACGGAGGCCTATTGCATTTATTTATTTTTTTTAAGATTTTTTTTATTTATTGTTTAGACAGTATTCTGCCTGAATGTATACCTACATGCCAAGAGAGAGCACCAGGTATCACTAGATGGTTAAGGGCCACCATGCAATTGCTGGGAATTGAACTCAGGACCTTTGGAAGAACAGCCAGTGCTCTTAACCTCTGAGCCACCTCTCCAGCCCCCCTATTGTGTTTATTAATAAGCTTGAAAGCACTAAGCTTGGCAGATCCCTTTAAAGGAGCCCTGGTTGCTAGTCAACTGGCCCTTTAAGAGTTCTTAGCCAATTAGAACCAATTGACCCTATGACCTTCAGAATAAGCTATAGAAAAGCCAGCAGAGGCAGAAAGAGGGGGGAGTGATAGAGAGAGCGAGTGAGCCTTGAATCTAATTTCTTTCCCAACTGTTCCTCCCAGTTTCCAGCTCAGCCCCTTCAAAAGTTTCTCCTAACTGTTCCTCCCCCAGTTCCCCGACAGTGTGCGTACACAGTCCTTTCCGCTGGTTTTCCACACTAGCAGCTCCAAGCTGCAACAACTGTTCTAGCCTTTGTGCTCAGCGGAGCTCTTCCCAGCTCGAATGTCTAACAGAATCTTCTGCGTCCCCTGCCTTCTCCTCCCGCTCTGCTGTCTCAGAGCTGTATGCAGTTCTTACAATATTATTAGATTTTCTCCAACCTCTTAATAATGAGCCATAAGTCTGGCTCACCTCCCCTTCCATGGACATCTGTGCCCCACCTACCTCCGGCCCTTCAAGCACAGTCCTGAAAACTTGAGGTGGTGTGTGCAGGTTAACCTAACAGAAGTTGTTTTGTGTTGTTTTGTTTTTGTTTGGTTTCCAACACAGGGTTTCTCTGTGTAGCCCTGGCTGTCCTGGGCTACAGATGGAGTGATTTGTAGACCAAGCTGGCTTCGAATTCACAGAGAGCCACCTGCCTCTGCCTCTTGAGTGCTGGGATTAAAGGCCTGTGCCATGATGTTCAGCTTGTTTTTTTTGAGACAGGGTCTCTTACTGGGACCTAGGAGTCATTGAATTAGCTAGCCTGGCTGTCCAGCGATTCCAGGGCCCTCCCACCTCTCCCTTCCAGCCCTGGAATTACAAACCCTTGACAAACCCCAGGCTTTTTCTGCAGAATGGAACTCAGATCTTTCTGCTGTGCAACGGGCACTGAGCTGATTCAGCTCATTTCATGCTTCTTCCAGTTATCATCCTTGAGGCTGATCAGGGAGGTGGTGGCACACTCCTTAACCCCAGCACTTGTAAAGCAGAGGTAGGAAGATCTCTGAGTTCGAGGCCAGCCTGGTCTACACAGCAAGTTCCAGGACAGCCAGGGCTACATGGAGAAACCCTGTTTCAAAAAGAACTCCGAAACAAACAAACAAACAAACGAATAAATAAATAAATGAGTTCTTGAGGTTTACCTATCTAAATCCAGCTTTGGTATTCACTGGGGAAACTGAGTCAGTACATTGAGCGGGCAGCTGGCTGGTCACCCAGCAGACCTTTTCTGAGGGTAATTTTTCAGGCTGGAACTGATAATTAGTGACTGTGGCTTCTACTGATAGTGGTAAACTGAGGGAGCAGGATTAGATTGCTGGTGGCGGCCAGTGCTGGCAGCTTCCTGGTGGAGGGTACACCTATCATGGTGAGCAAGGACCAGGGCTCTTAGCTCTAGTGGGGGCTTTCCACTGGTAGTGGCAAAGCATCTTAAAAAAAAAAAAAAAAAGACAGAAAGGAGAAAAAAGACCACGCACACACGCACACACGCACACTCAAGCACACTCACACACACACTCACACACACACTCACACACATGCACACAGGCATACATACACACTTACACACCCGGCAGATGGAACAAACTCAGAAGATTGAATTCCACTCCACCTAACATACATACAATATCAACATCTCGGTGAGTGGAACAAACTCTGAAGAGCGAATTCCAAGCCACACTTTTACTCTTTTCCCACAGCTTGAATATCCCAGCAAGATCTTTCAAGCAGTTAAAAAAATACAAAAATCGTAGTGTGCCTACATTCTATTTTCCTTTACATAAACGATTACACTGAATATACATAAGAAAAACATGTTCCCCAATACCCTCAATGTAAACAAATGTTTACATATTATGTGTGAAAAACAAATATGAAAAACAAGTTATTTGCAAGAGCCCATATACATTTGTAACTAAGGAGCTTGTTCACACATTAAGAGAGTGAACAAGCAAGGTAACTTCTCACCCAGCTTCTCTTTCCTGCAGGCTGCAGTTTGTGGGAGCAAAGAAAGAATCTATTTTTTAAAATTCTTTTTCTTTCTAAAGATTTATTTATTTATCATTTATACAGTATTCTGCCTGCACATATGCTTGCAGGCAAGAAGAGGGCACCAGATTTCACTATAGATGGCTGTGAGCCACCATGTGGTTCCTGGGAATTGAACTCAGGACTCTGGAAGAGTAGCCAGTGCTCTTAACCTCTGAGCCTTCTCTCCAGAACATTGTATACATAATAAATAAATAAATAAATCTTTTTAAAAATCAGCCATCT